TAAAATTCAACTTTATGGCTGGGCATGGTGATTCACACCTATAATCCCGGCACTCTGGGAGGCCAAGGTTGGTAGATTCTTGAGCTCAGGAGTTCAAGACCAGCCTGAGCAAGAGTGATATGCTGTCTCTATTAAAAATTGAAAAATTAACTGAGTGTCATAGAAGGTACTTGTGGTCCCAGCTACCTAGGAGGCTGAGGCAGGAGGATTGCTGTGAGCTAGGCTGACACCAAGTCCTTCTGCCCTGGACATAAATAATTAATAAAAACATAACATTCAAATTTATTTTTTATTTGTGTTCTGTTTAAACAACACTGAGCTGAAGCTATAAACCCACTGGGGAGAGGAAAGGCAGAAAATGAGTGAAAGGGTCGAAAAATACCCACTATTTCTTCAAAATACTATTCTGTGACAGATCAGATTTTCACACCAGACTAATAGCTCCTTTCTGGGAGAAATCGCCAAACCCATAATGCTTGCTGGCCAAGGACTCACAGCTGGTTTCTTGTGTGTAAGCTGGTCCTATTCTTCACGTGTAGCTCTATCGTCTAAGAAAACCTGAATGCCCACTGATTATTTCGGATCCTAGAACCAAAATTCTATGTGCATTCCATAAGGTGCGTCCCAATCAGGTTCCCAACTGCAGGCCTTCACTTAGAGATTTAGGTGTCCCCAGAAATAAGATTTTAAAATATATTTTCAGCAGTGGGAAAGGTGATCGTTATTTATTCATTAGTTGGTTGACTGATGCTTTACGGTGGTTCTCAACCTTCTTAATGCCGCAACCCTTTATTACAGTTCTGTGGGTTGCGACTTCAGAAGAAGCATTTTGTCTCTCTGTCATTGAGGGAAGATGAGTCCCTAGGTGAGAATGTGATTCCCTCCCTCTCTGCATCTGGTTTCTGAGAAGCGAGCCCTACCATTGTGTTTCTGAGGAGTCATTTTGCAGTCATCCTGCTCAGCAAACAAGACCATGTAAACACAGAGGCTGCCAAAAACACGTATACACATTGTGAGAAGGGAAAGATGGTATGAAAAGTGTGCTACTCAAGTCATGTCTGCCTCCTGCCATTCCAAGACATACCATACACAAGATAGCAAATGTTACTGGTATGTACTGAATATTACAATTTTAATACCTTTTTATCCTTGTTTTTAAATGTGCTTACATTTTTTGGCATCCTCTGGAGATTAACTTTTCATTTTTGTTGGAGGATTTTCCAAAACCGTAAGAACTTGAGACGTGAATCCGAGTTATGAGAGAGAATGGGGCAAAGATGGTGGAGGACTTATGTGCTGGGAGGTGGTGGGGAAATGAACGAGTTGCTCCTTAGTCTGGAGTAAGAATTGGGAAGTGTAGAGAGGAGAAAAGGAGAGCCGACGCCACAGAGTAGAGGCTCTCTACACATGCGGAGTTTTAGAAGACTCTATGAGGCCTTGGAAAGGTTGAGAACAAAGGCCCACTATTATGAGGAGCTTGGCACGTTCTCTCACAGCTAAGCCAGGCATGGAGGCAGCGGGTCGGGTCCTCCATTGGGGCCACAGCCATCCAAGGCACGATGTAGTCTGGGCAGGAATTCTGACAAAAAATGATGGAGTGAGTAGCAGAAGAGTGAATCTAACAGTATAATCTTTTGATGAGTCCTTTATTTTGTATTAATAATAGGCTTTCAATTTCAGAGTAGTTTTAGATGCACAGAAAGGTTTTAAAGGTCATGCAGAGAGGTTCTATTTCCATTATTGTACCATATTGCATTATTATGGTACAGATATTAAATTAATTAACCAGGATGGGGCCATGGTCATTAACAAAAGTCCATACTTTATTTGGGTTTCCTTACTTTTTGCCTAATATTTTTGATTGTCACAGGATCACACCCGTATGCCACATTACAATTAGGAGCAGGTCTCTTTAGATTCCTGCTGGCCGTGACAGTTTTTCAGATTGCCCTTGTTTTCACAATCTTTCAGGAGAACTGTTCAGGTATTTTTTGATGAGTACTGGTTAAATATTTTGTAGGGCCTCCCTTAATTAGAGTTTATATGATTTTTTTTTTTCAGTGTTTGGCCGGGGCTGGGTTTGAACCCACCACCTCTGGCAGGGGCCGGTGCCCTACTCCTTTGAGCCACAGGCGCCGCCTATCCGATGTTTTTCTCAGGATTATACTAGTTAAAGATTTTTGGTATTAAGACCTCAGAGTAAAGGGCCATGCCCATTGCATCATATCACTAGTCTATTCCATTCTACGTCCAACATGACATCACTGTTAATATTGAACTTGATCACTTGGCTGAGAAGTTGTCAGGTCTGTCCACTGTAAAGTTATTCTCTTTCCAGGCTGTGTATTTTAGAATGAAGTCCACTATGGGAAGGACCATATTTAGAAAAGAGAAAGATCAGGGGTGATAGGGAAGAGTGAGGAGGGTATAGAAGTTTATAAAAGTTGAATTTGGTCTAGGTTGGGGAAAAGGTAGGGTTTTGTTTGATAGACAGAAGGGATGGAGTAATTGAAACATTGGGAGCTCTTTCAGTCACCTCCTGTGTCCCTTTGATATATCTCCTCATTTGTGTGTGTGTGTGTGTGCATGTGTGTGTACATGTATGTATGTGTGCATGTCTGTATGTGTCCGCGTGTGTGTGCGTGTGTACATGTGTATGTGTCCGCATGTGTGTGCGTGTGTACATGTGTGTATGTGTCCGCGTGTGTGTGCGTGTGTACATGTGTGTATGTGTCCGCGTGTGTGTGCGTGTGTACATGTGTGTATGTGCATGTGTGCATGTCTGTATGTGCGTGTGTGCATGTCTGTATGTGTCTGCGTGTGTATGTGCGTGTGTGCATGTCTGTATGTGTCCGTGTGTGTGTGCATGTGTATGTGCATGTGTGCATGTCTGTATGTGTGTGTGTGCATGTCTGTATGTGTGCGTGTGTGCATGTCTGTATGTGCGTGTGTGCATGTCTGTATGTGTCCGTGTGTGTATGTGCGTGTGCATGTCTGTATGTGTCCATGTGTGTGTGCATGTGCATGTCTGTATGTGTCCGTGTGTGTGCATGTCTGTATGTGTCCATGTGTGTGTGCATGTGCATGTCTGTATGTGTCCGTGTGTGTGCATGTCTGTATGTGTCCGTGTGTGTATATGTGTGTGCATGTCTGTATGTGTCTGCGTGTGTATGTGCGTGTGTGCATGTCTGTATGTGTCCGTGTGTGTGTGTGTGCATGTCTGTATGTGCATGTGCATGTCTGTATGTGTCCATGTGTGTGTGTGTGTGCATGTCTGTATTTGTCCGTGTGTGTATATGCGTGTGCATGTCTGTATCTGTCTGCGTGTGTATGTGCGTGTGCATGTCTGTATCTGTCTGCGTGTGTATGTGCGTGTGCATGTCTGTATGTGTCCGTGTGTGTGTGCATGTCTGTATGTGCATGTGTGCATGTCTGTATGTGTGTGTGTGCATGTCTGTATATGTCCGTGTGTGTATATGCGTGTGCATGTCTGTATGTGTCCGCGTGTGTATGTGTGTGTGTGCATGTCTGTATGTGTCCGTGTGTTTGTGTGTGTGTGCATGTCTGTATGTGTCCGTGTGTGTGTGTGTGTGTCTATCTTAGCACTTCCTTACTTTCTGGCACTACGATACACTCTCTGTAGTACATTCCCTGCCTCACTTCTGGAATGCACACATTTTCCAAGGATCCCTGGTTCCTTTTACTCCATTAGAAACCAAACTCTGGATGCTAGATGTGCTTATTGCTACTAGGCTATCATTCTTCTAGGCCTTCCCACTGCCAGAGCAGAAAGATCTCTGTGCATAGATCAACCCTTGTGTGTGTGTGTGTTCCCATGTGTACTCCATCTGTACTGTATAGACGACATCAAATAATGTACATAGTATGTTGAACCTGAGTTCACGTGGCTGTCTCCAATGCTAACCTATTACTATGTGCATCATTCCAGCCTGTTCCTCTTGCTTATTAGTAAATTATCACACAAATAGTGAGGAACTTGTTTCCATTGTCCACCATCCATCTACGTAATTGTTCAGTTCCAGTATACGCATGTGGCAGTGTTAGAACTGTTAACCCAAAACCCGATGAGAAGCAACTTCGTCAATACACTAAAAAGCTTAGGTACACGCCTTTTCTCTTTAGTTTTGAAGGCTTCCCTAATTTCTGAAGTGCGTTTGGTCAGTGCCTTCCCCTGCTCCCTTCCCTGGTGCTATTTCATCCTTTTGTAACACAGTTAAATGATTTTGTCACAGGAATTCACATCCTGGATTCCTTGATCCCCTAACCGATTTGTTGTATTTTGCACCCATTAAGGTTTCCTCTTTGAGCTGTAAAGTTCCATTGCTTTTGACAAATGAATTTTATGGCATGTATCCACCAGTACGGTATCCTACAGAATAGTTTCACTGCCCGAAAATATTCCTGTATTTCATCTATTCAAATCTGCCCTCTCCTGGAATCTTTGGCAACCACTGCTCTGTTTACTGACTCTGGAGTTGTGTCTTTTTGAGAGTTTTGCCTTTTAATATAAATGGAATTAAACAGACCAACTTCTTTCCCTCATTAATAGGCTTGTAAGATTTATGCACGTTTTTGCCGGACTTGATAGCTCTTTCCTTCTCACCATTAAAAGCTATGTCGTTGTGTGGACGTATACGGTTTGTCTGACTTTTTACCTGCTCTAAGACTTCTCTGCTGCTCTCAGATTTTGTTGATTATATACTTTGTATAAAGCTTCTGAAATACTCATGTCTGGCATTGATTTTCAGCTTTATCATTTGACAACATTTTATAGAAATATGATTCACATAAAATGTACTCTTTTCAAATGTGTATTTCAGTGTTTTTTGGTCCATTCACAATACGTATCAAGCCGTATTCATTCCTCTTTGTGTCTGGACTATTCTTTCATTTGGATACACCACGTTTTGTTTATCTTCTTGTCAGTTGATGGACATTTGGATTTTTCCACTTTTGGGCTCTGAAGAGTAACTTTTCTGCTGTGAATATTCTGGCTCTTCGGAGTTGATAATAATCAAGCAGGCTAAACATAAGCTACATAAAAACCACGCCTGGGCCTGGAGGCCTAGTTCTTAGCCTGGGTTTGATTTAATACATGCTGCTGATAAACCAGGTCCAATTTGTTATATGATCCTTTCGTATGATTGTATAATGGCTGTGATTCCAGGCTTTGATCCACCTTAAGAAAAATGACGGTACACTGAATGTAATAACTTTTGCAGATAATCAGTGCTGATTGACAGAGTTTTATCTAATGGCAGAACCAGAATAGGGACATTTGGTGATTACATGTTGTCATTAAAAGAATTGTAAAATTGCTGTATTTTTATTTTCTAAAAAGAAAAATAATTTTTCTGGGCTGGGCAGTGACTCAGGACTGTCATCCTGGTACTCTGGATGGGAGGAGGGTCTGCAACCAGAGCAAGAGTGAGACCTCATCTCACTAAAAATAGAAGATTAACTGAGCATTGTGGGGGGGCCTTAGTCCAAGATATTCAGGAGGCTTTGGCAAAAGGAACTCTTGAGCCCAAGAGTTTGAGGTTGCTGTGAGCTATGTACTCTAGTCAGGGTGCATGGTGACAGAGTCTGACTGTGTCCTAAAAAAAAAAAAAAAAGAATAATTTTGCTATAAACATTTATGTAGAAATATGTTTTTATTTCTCTTGAGTATATATAAGTGTGTATATATGTGTACATCCATATATGTATGTATACACACACGCACACACATCCACCAGTGGACTTCCTGGGTCATATGGTAACTCTGAGCTTAATTCTTTAAGGAACTGCCAAACTATTTTCCAAAACAGCTATACCATTTTACATTCCCCCAATGATGTATGGAAGTTTCAATTTCTCCACATCCCCATCAACACTTACTTGTGTCCATCATTTTTATCACAGTCAGCTGATGGGTATGAAGTGGTTGGTTTGCCTTCCTTTAAATGACTAATGATCTTGAACTTCTTTGGTTCTCTTCGATGTGCTGATTTTTGTATGAGTATAGTTTTCAAATCAGATAGGTAAATACCCAGAACCACTATTAGAGTATTACGTGTTAAAATCATTATTTGTTCATTCATTTATTTACTTATTCATTTATTTATTTGAGATAAGATCTTGCTCTGTCACCCAGCTGGAGTGCAGTGGTGCAATGGCACAAGAGCAGTTCACTGTAGATTTGAACTCTGGACCTCAAGTGATCCTCTTGCCTCAGCCTCCCAAGTAGCTAGGACTACACGTGGGCACCACAGCCCCTGGCCGTTCATTTATTTATTTATTTGTAGATAAAGGGTTTTGCTATGGTCTCAAGTGATCTTCCTGCTTCAGCCTCTCAAAGTGTTGGCATTACAGGTGTGAGCCACCCCTCTCAGCCTATTTTTGTTTTCATTCGATCAAATAAATATGATTTAAAAAATCAGTATCTGCAACATCTTATCTGTTATACACTGTGACAACTAAATCGTTGTTAGCCAGAGAGGAAACAGAAAGCTCCCGCTGCTGTTTTCAGCTCTCCCCAGGGGAGGGAGGAGACCCATCACGTGCTAGGGGAGCTGGCAGGGGTCCCTGTGCTTTCAGTTGCCACAATGACCGTGCGTGCTACAGGCATTTAGTATCTGAGGACCAATTGATATTTTATACTGTATGGAAGCACCTTGCACGTTTAATAAATGTTCTATCCTAAATGTCACGGAACGTTGCAGACGAAAATAATAGCCAGATGCATGAACAAATAGAAGCAGAAAGCCAGAGAAGTTAAAGGGTAACATTTGAAATCTGTAAGTGATAGAAGCAAGAATAGAAAGTAAATAGTGGTGAACTGACAACTTCCTGGGACTGATAGAGAATAAGATTTCCTCCCTAGAAGAGTCTTGAATCTTAAATCACCTCTGGGATTTATGCAGATCATAGTCATTTCACACTGACCTTTGGATCCCTTCAAATTCCTGTTTCCTCATTTATATTTTGTGTCTTCATCCTGACTGCCCAACGTTATTTAGATCACCTAAAAGGGTATCCAGTCAGTCTTTGCAATCAAAACATGGTAATTAGCACTGTGTCCCCCCCATAAAGATATATAGAGGATGAGATCTGAAGAAAGTGTACCGAGTCCCACTGTACTCTGATGTTATTCACATAAACTAATAGGACTAGTATTTGCATTCTGATTCAATAAAAATGACAAGGAATTGTGCTATCTTTAAACATTAACCTGGCAAGGTCATAATTTTGGAAGCTTTGATTAACTATTTTTTCTATGCACTGCTAGTCAGTTGCTTTCTAAGGTCACACGACATTATGAAATTGAAGCCTATTTCAAATTAAGTATTTGGGTAGGGGAAAGAAACCAGAGGTTTGCATGCTTATCCTAAGAACAGGCGACCCCTAGATTACAAACAAGCTAGGCTCTGTAGGTTTGTTCTTAAGTTGAATTTGGAGGTTGGAACAGGTACACTTACCACCTATAATGGCCTCTGTTCATAAGTGCAAATTGTATGTCGGTCATATATTTGTAACTCGGAGATTTACTGTAATAGTCCCTGTTGGTTAAGTGCAAGGTATATGTAAGTTAGATGTTTATAACCTGGGGACTGCCTGTATGTGGAATATTATTCTGAAGTATTATTCAAAATTATGAAGTGGTAATTAACAGGAAAAATAAAAGCTTCTTAACATAATTTCCACTGGTAGGAAATATGTACATAGAACTCAAATTGTGGTGAAGTAGAAATATGTCTAAAAAAAGCCAAATCACGCTTTGTACATATCAAAGCATTTAATTTCTATTTAGTTGAATTTTGCAAGTTGCCAAAATGCTAAATTCATTATTTCCCGGCAATTAGACGCTAGAATACATTGTTCTATATTACTGACAGCCAACTCAATAAATAGTAATTAAGCCCCAGGGCAGTCTGTTCCAGTGGAGGCCCCAGTGAACCAGTTGCCTGCTATTCATCTCTACGTACAATTCTCTCCCATCTAATCCAGGCTGGACCATGATGTGCTTAATCAAAAGAATATATCAGAGTGACATAGGGCCTGAGCCCTAAAAAGTCTGTAAGTGTTTACTTTGTCACTCACAGGAACCTTGAGCCTCCAAGCCGGAAGTTCAGCTATGCGTCTAGAAAGTGCACATGAGAAGCACCAAGAAAATGAGGGACGTCATGGAAAGAGATTCCCTCCTGCCCCAGGGCTGACTTTCCAGATGAATTCACCCCTAGTAGTGACCAGCAGCAGGACAGCAGGTAAGCCCAGGCCAGGTTGTAAATTTTCCAACAAATTAAATAGTTGTTTCAAGCCAATACATTTTAGAGTGCTTAATTTTAAAGCAATGAATCACCAGAAAAAGCAACTACCGTATATCCAGCATGACGTGACTCGCCAAGGAAGCACAAAGACTAGAAAACAGCGAGTGATGCCCGTTTGACGTTGGCCTTCGCCCTGGAGTATGGTTTGCATCTTTTCATCGAAATTTTCAGAATTCTATTTTTGTAAGTAATATGTTTCAGATTATTCAAAGTGTGACCTGGAATACTAATTATATTTAGCATTCTTATGGGCAACTGAATTTTCACCTTCTATCCAGTCACTTATAAATAAACTTTCAGAGCACATGAATTTCCTGAGTGTTACCTGTGTCATCATGTGCAGACCTTTCTGGTAGGATTTCCAGTTATCGCAGTAAGTCAGACAAGAGGGAAATTTGCAACTACTTGCATGATTAAAGAAAGTTGCAAGACACTCGATATCAGGATTGGATGAGAAGGAAAGGACCAGAGTGAGCCAGGCATAAAGGAACAAGACGGACATTCTGAAGGAGACGTGACATATTCCGAATCCTGGGAACAAAGGGGAAGCTGGTGTATTACAGGGTTACAATGAGATTTGGTTGATTATCACCCTGGATGGGTGAAAAGGATTTTTAAGAAATTACTCAAAGATAACTGAACAAGGAAATTACATGGTTTGGCCACATTTTAGAATTATAAATTTGGCAGCAATTCATTATAGAATGGGGAAAGATTCAAGAAAATCTTAAAAAGCCTTACTGGTATCCAGAATTTCCAGCAGTTTTCTCTACTATTCAAGAGAGTCTTAAAGTCACGTTTTGTTTGTTGTTTGCTTGTTTGTTTTTAAGTCTTTTAAAACATTTTAAATAGATTTAGGGGTAACAAGTGGTTTTTTGTTGCATCGTTAAATTACATAGGGGAGAAGTTTAGGCATTTTTTCCACAGGAACGGAGAACAATTTCTTGTTGGAATTTATTGCCTCTATAAGCTTTGTAAACAAAAAAATTATTTATAGGGAGGCATGGTGGTTCATACCTGTACTCCTAGCACCATGGGAGGCCGAGGCAGGTGGATTGCTTGAGCCTGAGCAAGAGTGAGACCCCAACTCTACTAAAAGAAAAAGAAGTACAAATACGAGTGGGGTTGTAGTGATGGGCACCTGCAGTCTCTGCTACTTGGGAAGCTGAGGCAAGGGGATCACTTGAGCCCAAGAGTTTGAGATTGCTGCGAGCTGTGATGATGCCATGGCACTCTACTCAGGGCAAAAAAGTGAGACTCTGTCCCAAAAAGAAAAATTGTTTATACACAAATATGCTATCCAACGGGCAGTCCCTGGGAATGATAAACAGATGTGGCCAGAGTTAGGATTAGAAAAGTAAGTCCGTAAGATCTGTCCAATTTGTGTTCCTAAAAGGATGAGCTGGGCTAGGATTTCTTCTAGCACAACCTGAATATTTTATTCTATACGACATCACAGAAATTGGCAGAAGACTTTCCAAATTAGATAAAGTGTTTTAGAGGGCTTAGTTCTTGGTTAAAGTTCTTGGATTGGTCTCAGTGCTAATTTAGGCTTTAGGGGCATATAAGAAACACATGAGGCATTTTCTGTGTCCAGAATTGATATATGTCCTTCTGCGATTCACAGTAGTATGTCATATCACTTAGTTACAGAGTATATATTTCCCCTTGAAATATGTAGCCACAAACTTTAACTGAGTAAAGAATGAATCGAATAAGAAGCTTGAGGACTCTTTCTGAAATGCTCAGTCTGTATATATAGGGTGGCCAGAAACTTCATGTGCAATTATAAATTACAGAC